TAATATTTTGATGCGTCAGTGATTTAGTGGTAGAATACTCGCCAACTGCTCACATGGTCTAACCAATTTACTAGTTGTCAGTAAGCCTCATTTAAAGGGGAGGTTGGCTGTGACGCTAGGAAACATCAATTCGCAAAAATCAACAAAATTACGATTACTGAAACTTTACGGCTTCAAATCTGAAACTTTATGTTCCCCTAAGAGCCTAAAGGAATGATATTATTTGCATTCTGAGTATTCTGGATTTATTCCTGTAATGAACAATCCCTTATCTTGACGATTCTGAACTCCCTGTTTTACTACAATAAACGTTTCTCTAGGTGTGGCAACTTGTACATCTTTAACCGGAAGGTCTACTACAGCATCTTCACATGCACCTTGATGTCTATTTTGCAAAAATTAAGTGACTATAAAGTAGTTTCATATTTATTTATTTTTATGGATCGGTTGAAAATTTAACAAAAGGATTGTTTTAAATGAGGAAGTACATTCAAGCGCTTTCTTTGAGACTAAGAAAGATTCTGCACATAAGTTATTCAATCTACTACGATTTTATTTTTAGGCTTGTAAGCAGAGTGTATGATAAAAAAATAACTATAAGAGAATCCTTCGAAGTGAAGAAGGGAGTAAGACAAGGCTGGCTGGCTGCCTACTATCTCCAATGATTTTCCTGATTGCGGTAGACTGGATAATGCGACAGACAGTTAGCGGGCAACGAGGAGACAGGCATAAAATGGACCCACACAAAAACTTGGAGGATCTAACCTTCGCCGATGATATTTGTCTGATTTCCCACAAACTGGAAGATATGCAAGTGAAAAGCAACAAGTTGGCAGAAGAAGCATCCAGAGAAGATAGGACTTCAGGTGAACATAGAGAAAACAGAGGTAGGTAATGAGTATTCCTGGACAAAAGCAACAGCAACCACAACAGACGAAAACCAGCATAAATGGGAGGAATGTGAAAGAAGCAACCTCCTTCACCTACCGACTTGGGAAGCATCGTTTCAACTACAGGCGGAACTGATCGGGAAAGCAAGGTAAGGTTTCATTTCTCTCAAGTCTGTGTGGAGGTCAACAGCACCCAGCATGCAAAATAAGATCCGGATTTTCAACTTCAATGTGAAGTCAGTGCTACTATACAGATCAGAGACTTGGCGCGTCACGAAGGGCATTTTGAACAAACTACAAAACTTCATCAACAGCTGTCTTCGCTCTATACCATTCAAGATCAGATGACCAGCCATAAAAGATCAGCAACAGGGAGGGATCTCTGGAAATGAGCGAACCAACCAGGAACCGATTGTGCAACAAATATGCAGGAAGAAATGGAGGTGGATTGGCCATATTCTGAGGAAACCATCAAGTGACATCACACGTCAGGCCATCTCTCGATTGGAACCTGAACGGGAAGCGGTGGGTTGGTCGTCCAAGGGTGACTTGGAGGAGGTCATGTGAAGAGGAGATGAAAGCATGTGGGCAGACGTGGAGCCAGGTGAAAACGTTGGCAGAGAACCGAACGCAATGGAGACGTGCGGCTGAAGCCCTATGTTCCTCTAGGAACTAAAGAAAACAATAAGAATAATGATGAATGTGAAAATAAGTGATATTCACTACAGCAGGGAAGTGAAATACTCTCAGCTTCCCTAACTGTCAACTGATATTTGCTTATTGTAATATGAGTGATGTAAGAGGCAAAATGTATTAAATAGAAATTGTTAACTTTAAGCATTATAAACGCTTAGTAAATACTTAGACGGAAACAGTATTATGCGATAGCTCTAAATTTAAATATGTAGTATTTTAATTATTGTCACTGCCTAATCTAGTTTAAATTCTGTCGAAACTCTGCGAACCATTACTTAAATTTCTAGAATGACTTAGCCCACTAAGTTATGGAATTCAGAGAAAATGTCGGTTACTGCAGTGCATTCACTTACACGTGAACACCCATTACAGTGAGGTAGGCTAGAAGTATTAAAAAGTAGTATAATCAGGCGAGGAGTGAGATTAATTACTAATTCTTTGTTCATCCAGTCAATCAATATTAAATACTTGCAATAGAAATTACGAAGCTCCTGTCCTGGACACATAGAGAATTACATTGGAAAAGATAATACAGATTAAAATAAACTTTATCAAGCAGTTTATGAAGTAGTGCGAATACACTGATATGATTATGGAAATAGAATATGCCTGGAACCTCACCCAGCTATTAATATTGCATCATCGTATGTGATATATCAAATAAACTTATCTGGTATGGAACTGATCTGTAACTAATTTTTACCTTTCATTAAATTTGTATTTAATTGGTGGATGGTGACTAGCAGTGGAATCCAGGATGCGCATTTCGTCCTATTTGGGACTCGTCAGACATCGTCGAAGCATCTGCACAAGAAGCCGACATGTCAACCTGAGACCAAGCACTTCGGTTCAATCAATCGACGGGAAAATCTAAAATTCAATTAAATTTCATTAAATTTATTGTCTACTTAACACCAAAATCAATTTTAATTTACTGTCATCATTCATTTTAAACGAAGTTCATTAAATCAAACAACAGTTGTCAGTCTTCAATGTTTTGGACTGATTATACTTCAGCTGGGCTGCCCACTGTCACCACTGATATTCTTTATTTTATTGAACTGGGTTATTTAAGAAACCAAGAGAAGCGAGAAAACAAGCATACTCTGGACTGACAAAATAACTTTAGAAGATTTGAATTTTGCGGATAATTTATGCCGCATGTTGTACAAACTCGAAGCGCCACAGGCGAAAATCAATAAGTTGAGAGAATAGTCAGTGAAGGCATGGTCGACAACAATACTCGACCAACAACAAACACCAATCACCAGCACCGGGAAGAAATCTAGAGGAAGACATCTCTTTCATATACTTGACCTAGGCGGCATTGCTTCAACTACTGGTATGTGGTACAGATTAGAAAATTTTAAAGGCAGGATGGGAAACCAAAATAGAATTTTATTACTCTAAAATCGATTTTGAAGTCTACTGTACTCAGCATAAACAACAACAACACTCTAAACACTCTAGTGTCAAGTCAGTGCTCCCATACCGGTCAAAGTCTTGGCACGTCCGTCAAGAAAAGTATTTCAAAACAACTAGTGCAGACACTTATCAACAACTGCCTTAGCTGGATACTGGAAGTCAAATGGTGGGGCGGAAAGGATGAGCAACAAAGAACTCTATATTATTATTATTGTTCCCTTGGGTTCCTAGTAGAACATAGGGCTTCAACTACACGTCTCCACTTGCTTCTGTCTTCTGCTGTACTTTTCACCTGCATCCATGTTAGTCCATACTGTTTCAACTCCTCTTCACACGATCTCCTCCATGTCACCCTTGGACGTCCCACTCGCCGCTTCCCTTTCGGGTTCCACTCGAGCACTGGCCTGACGCGCGATGTCACCAAACGGCCTCCTCAGCGAGTGTCCAATCCATCTCCACTTTCTCCTGCATATTTGTTGAGCGATTGGTTCTTGTTTTGTTTGTTCCCATAGTTTCTTGTTGGTGATTCTTTCTGGCCATTTGATCTTCAGTATAGAACGAAGTATCTGCAACCTGTTGGAAATAATATTCTTTGTGACCCACCAAGTTTCTGATCCGTATAGAAGAACTGACTTGACGTTTATATTGAAAATCCGAAAAGGAAAGGCAAATCATGTTCTGACCAAATTGCAACTCTACGCATCATCATCGAACAAAGCATGGAATGGCAATCAAACCTCTACCTCAACTTTATAGACTTTGAGAAGGCCTTCGACAGCGTTGACCGCGAAGTAATTTGGAAACTACTCGAGTACTACGGCGTACCCCAAATATTCATCAACCTTATTCAACAGCTGTACGACAACGCCACGTGTCAAGTGATCCACAACGGAAAACTCAGCGAGGCGTTTGGAGTAAACACAGGAGTCAGACAAGAGTGCTTATTATCACCAATGATATTCCTAATTGTGGTGGACTGGATTATGCGTCATACAGTGGGAAACGAGAAGACAGGGATATCCTGGACCGACGTGAAGAACCTAGAAGACCTGGATTTCGCATGTGGATGATTTATGTTTGATGTCACACAAAATCGAAGACTTACAAGCGAAAACCGACAAACTGGTCGAAGAAGCAGCCAGAGAAGACAGGACTCCAGGTGAACATAGACAAGACGGAGGTTATGAAAATAACCAACCAACAACAACAACAACAGCAGCAACATCCAGCGCCAATCACCATCAACGGGAGGGATTTGAAAGAGGTTACTTCATTCACTTATCTAGGGAGCATTGTCTCAACTACAGGAGGAACGGACGAGGATGTCGAATCGAGAATCGGGAAGGCGAGAAACACATTCATCAACCTGAAACCAATCTGGAAATCTTCGTCACTCAGCATCAACAAAGAACTCTAACAACGAACGAATCAAGAACCTATCGCCAGAGAGATATCTGAACGAAGCGTAGATGAACTGGATATACACACTGAGGAGACCATTGAGTGACATTACATCCTGGGAAACAACGGAGTTGGATGTCCAAGGATGACATGGAAGAGATCGTGTGAGGAGGAAATGGACGTTTGTGGGGTGTTATGGAAATACTTAGAAATGACAGCAGGGAAAGGATCGATATAGGGTTGCCCTGCTGAAGCCCTGTGTGCTACTTCAAACCCAAGGGAATAAATAATACCAACAATATAATCTAAATTAATTTACAACTTTTTTTAAAATTTAAGCCTTACACTCATTGTAAAAGTGTGTAATTCATAATATACTGAAAGTGCATTAATTTCTCATTTGAACTGTTAACATTTTGACGCATTTTACTTACTTCTTTCATGTATATATAAATGAAAGTGCAATCTTTAATTTTTGTCGTCTCTGTTATATTTTCGTTCATTCATTTATGCTGTTATTTCTTTTCTGTCATATAAAAAGAAATTAAACAAAGGAATAAGATAACTGAATTATAAAATCCAACAACAATGAAACTTTTCTGTTTATATCTAGTCACCTTTTTAACGTCCTCATACGCCTTCATCGCTGATCCATACAATAATCATAGACATGATGGCTATGACTACGATTCATATTTTGATAAGGAATTCGACAGAAGCTTTCTTGGATTTTATGATTATTCAGATGATTACAAGCCAAGAGATGATTTTTATGATAACACGCCAGCGATTAATGAAGGACATGGAAACGAAGGAGACGGAGAAAGAGGAGGAGCAGGAGGAGAAGGAGGCGGACAAAATTCTGAAGGAAATTCAAATGGTCCTAATGAACAAGATAATCAAAACCACGGTCCTGGTCATCATCATGACCACAGCCATGGTGAGCATAACTATGACTATGATGACTACTATTCCTATGCACCATCACCTCCACGTCACCATTATTACCATGACAACTACTATTACGATCAATTAGATGATGACGATGATGATGATAATGATGATGATCAGGATCAGGATCAGGATCACGGTAATGCCCGAAATAATAATAATGGAGGTCAGAACAACAATAATATTAGAACTAACAGTAGCCATCGTCCACCTCGGCGACATCGGTATCATGATCGTTATTTCTATAGATATGACAGACAAGTTAAAGAATTCGTATTCGATGGAAAACCGTTATATGTACCTAAAAGACGACAATATAATAATTATTACTATTATCCAGGAATTTCTAAAGTAGAAGGTTTTGGAATTAAGGGTGATATATACGGTGATCAGATTAATAAAACAGATGATAAATATGATAGATATGGTAATTACCTACCAGATTATCAAAATGTGAATATTGGTCCACGTCCTCAAGTTGGAGACAGTGATCCCAGAGGACAAGATAATAATGATGGCCATCGTAATGAGGAATCAGATGAACACTTTGCAGCTGGTGAGGCTGGTGCGGATCAACAGAGGGAAATCAGAGAGGGGGATAATGGTGAAGGCATGCCACGAGATTTAAATAAACAACCTGAAAGCCCACCAAATGAAAGAGGTCAACGACAAAATGAAAAAAACGAAAACCGAAAAAAGAATGATAGAAAGAAGGATAAAAAGAAAGTCAAGAAGGACAAGAGAAAATATTATCGTTACAACAATAGATATGATGGTTCATATGATGACTATGATTCCTATGACTACCAATCAAATGACAATGGGAAAACGGAGGAAGACGAAGCAGGAGATGAAAATAATTCCCAAGACGAGCAGACGACAGAGGGTGATGAATAAGATTACAGACACTAATAATTGAAGTCTGATTTAAAAGTTGTGTGAGTAAAGCATTCAATGAAACCAAGTTAATTTTGATCACTGATTCAAGTGATCTACAGTTGTAATATTTCTTTCTAATAATATATATGTATAAGTGAAAGCTGTTGACTTATTCTTTCTTAAAAGGGAAAATTGAAGGCAATACCAAATTCTTTTTCAGTCTAATGATGTTAATGAACTTTTCATACTAAAAGATGTTTTTGATATGTGATTATGTTCACTGTCTTTCTAGACAACATCTTCAATGCAAACTGCATTATGAAGGTGTTGTTTCGAAGAAGGACAATGAAAGCTTAGTAATTAAGCCATCCAACTCAGAGGACGTGAACACATCGAAATCATCCACTTGAGCTAAATATCTTCTCTATTACACTAAGTATGTGTTTGTATGTACGCGAAACACTTATAATGTTCGAAGGTTATTCAAATTATTCTAAAAGAAAGAAGCAGTTGAAGTAATTCTGTCTTTTTTTCAGTTTGTCGTAAGTTTCGTAAATATTAACCATTCAGGCATTAACGAAAAAGCGAAAAAAGTAGTTCAGCGAAGAGGTTCTTTGCGGCAAATTCATTTTCTCTAATTGCGCCAAAAGAGGATAATGACACAAGTTATAAAGAGTTTTTCAGTCATTTCATTATCCTTCACATAATACACAAGATAAAACAACTATAGCAGATAAAATAAGGCTTTTTAGCTATTTATTTCCTAAAAGAATCACCTTAGGCACCACTGCATGATATAACACTATTACTTTGCCGAAATTAAGTAAGTTTTACCAAATAGTTAAGTACGAGTAATTTGGAAGGACAAAAGTAATTTTCTTATTATTGTCTGAAACCTAAGGCTGTGCTTCAAATTAATATATGTTGCATGGAACAGATAGCTACTTCACGAGGATTCCACATGACTTAACCTATTGCATAGTGCTAACCAGATTTAGAAGACGACGTTTTTGAAAAACACAAGTTACCCAGTAGTATACTTTTATTATACTTCAACCCTAATTTTACTTATTCGATTTGGACTAGAAGACATTTAGTAGGCCAAAGCAGAACAACAAGTAGATCCTTCAAAGTGCAAAGTTTATTTCGGAATCAGTACTGTTAAACACTAGTGCCTGCCTTACTACCTAGAGATCATTCACGAACAACCGGACGTAACATGTGGGCGTGCTAGATGATGTGGCCACCTGGATATTCATGCTAAGAGTAACCAGTAAGCTTAAACAGTGAAGGTCAGCACCCAAAGCTGAGTGATTATGAACCTATAGGCCAACAATTTAGGAATCATTCACTGCTACTGACATGTCCCTGTGTCGGTGGTTCCGTGGTAGAATGCTCGCCTACCACTCAGATGGTTCGGGGTTTGATTCCCGGCCGATGCTCTCCTAAACCTAGCTTATCCGGTAGTAGGTCTGGTAAAGAGGGAAGACTGGAAGTAGTACTAGCAACCCCATTACATAAAAAGAAACCAAGACTATTGGAACTTCAAACAGTACGCCTGAAGCCTTGTGTTCTACTTAGAACGCAAAGTAATGAAGAGAAAACTGACATTTTTTAAGAGCGACTGCCTTGTTTTTTCAGAGTTAATGTATACCACAGATATTCTTAACTTATTTGCGTGAAATTTTTGTGTACCTTGTAACTTAATCAATGCATTCAACTTGTCTATGATTCATGGAGCAAACAATATTTGCAGTGAATTCGCTATAAACACATGCGGACTGAATACGACATTCATACGATCTGCTTGTTTCAGCTAGGTGTGTTACATTTGGAGATCCTCGCAAATATTCATTTACACTAATTTTGAGTTAAGAATGAGAAAACACTGATACTTTTTTTTCAACACAAGTCCCATTTAAATCCCTTCAGTTTTCGAGTATTTTATAAATGTGTTCACTTAAGGATAAGCCAAACTATGGTTTATAATTCAAGATAATATCGAACAATATCAAACTGTAGGGACAGAATTGAGTACACATCAAATAAATGGTAGGTGACAGTTACAATGAGTCACAACTTGTAGGCATTTTTGGAAAGATATGAAATCAAAACGTTTATACAGAAACCTGAAGTATATGTCGTCAGTGTGTTGCATAAGCTAAAGATTGAACTACTAACAGAAAAAAAATCAAATCAAACTCAAGTCTGACCACGGACTGATATCAGTTGGAGAACCATTGTAGACAAAAGGAATACTGTTCAGCTGTATTGTCCCTGTTCAGGAATCTTCAGCAGAACTTACCCATCACCTCATCCAATACCAAACCCAGGACCATAAGGATTATGTGGTAACTATTCAGCCAGTGGGACGGAATCCAGTAGTACACGAATCCTGACTTTTGTAAATCAAATTTGTAAAAGTAACTTTAGAATTGATCTGATGCTGACTGGCGACTGGAGTCCTAGTGGTAAGTCATTGGTGTTCATCACGTTGGGCGTGAGGACGAATACTTGCCAATGACACTGGCTGACGGTAGCGCCGTATATATATCATGAATTAACGGAAGTTAGAATTCATAGATCACAGACTAGTGACTGAATGGCCAATCAGCTCGCTTCTTAGACTGAAGTTCCCACACCCAATTTCTGATGGGCATATAAGTGTGTGCTGTTGAGGGGTTCCGAACTAGGACGAAATAGCTGTCTAGAGATCCTTGGTTTTCAGTGGTTCTCTGACTGAAGTCCGTTTCAGGATCGGAATCGAAACGAGTCAAATCCCTATAAAATTCATACAATTCTTCCCATCAGTAAACTTAGGCGAAACAAGAATGTCAAGTGTACCAGCGTGATACTAGCTAATTTTTTATTATTTCGGGGATTTTTTTAACTGGCCACAACGTGAACAATACAGAATTATAAAGTGTAATAAAGGTTTTAATATAATTTTTACGCGATAACAAGGAAGTAAGGGTGACATAAGTCCTGAATGATGTCAGCTATTAAATTATTAAGAGTTAAGGGGGTTGATAATTTATAGCATAATTAGACCAATACCCTTCAGGATAGAGGTAGAAATTTTTGGTTCGAAACGAAGTTTACCTAGAAAGAGTATAACAACATAACGGAAAAAATGTTTTACGAAGTAGCAGAAACGGAGTAGGTTGATTAACGTCCTACGAAACAGGACAGAAGATACTAGATTATACATGGCATTCTTTGTTATGTAATTTTTAATCGCCAAGGTAGTGTGAGATTCACAACTGTCTTCTTCTAAGGACAAAGCCCTGCTTTTAACCGTTTGATGGTAATCTCCTCAGCAAAACGTAGCGAGCTAGGTTTGTAAACTTCTGAGTGTCTTAAACAACTGGTCGTTTGATACGCCCATACAAGCCTGGAGGTTGTGAATCTTCTTTTTAGGGCAGCGTTCAGTTTCTGTCTCATTTTACTAGCAACAAGACCGCTTTTGAAGGCAAGCTGTAGAATAATAGACTTTTTATCTAGTGGGCAACAATTCGCTTTTCCACCCCACGTTTTCCACGTCTGTCGATGGACTTCTGTGGGTAACTAACTAACACTTGAAAACAAATCAAATTCGTCATTTGCAAATAACACAGTTCGAGGTGAGAAGTCATCACAATCTCCTTGGGAAACCAAAAGTATTCACGTCAAAATATGTGGTCTGTTGGATATCATAAATTACGGTCCAGAACATATACTATATACTACTGACTGACCGAAATGAGTAGGTAGAAGCTACACACATTAAATAGTAGTGCTTGCTAGCCAGATCGAAGTGATCTATACACTAGATGTCTGTTTGGCTCATTTGACCCTAAGCTTCTAAGCGATATACGCGGTTTGACTCACCTCAGAGAGCCATATCAGTTCATACCATCCCCATAGAAACAGATCAACGAATATATTCTTCTTCAACGATGTAGTGATAGAAATAAGTACCTAAATGTTTCAAAACAAATCTGTGTGAAGGAAACCAGGTAAAAACTTTACCATGTCAAAGATACTTTTGGCGGGAACATACTGCTGTTGACATGCTGCGTGGCTAGTATCTACGTCATTCTAAAATTTGCTTCTTTTTGGCATCATGACATAATGACTGCCTTATAACTGAAGCTAAAAATCACTGTGGGAGACAAACATTTTTCACTTGATAAAATGTGAATATAAGGGGGATGAGGGTAAATAAGGATTTGAAATATATACATATATGCAAGTCTTCATTCGTTATTTTAACTTGTAATACTATTGGAGATTGTAAAACAGTAGTCGTACTGTACACCCTGAATTGAAATTTTCAAGCAATTCTGATTATGTTTACATTAGGTTGCTGACCTCGGAAATTCATATGCTAGCCACTACTAAATAAGTAATTCGTGTTAAGCAATTCTGTTTGGTATCAAGGCATCCCCTTAAGCAGCTCAAATGCCCAAATGATACTGGTCACTTCGGTCCAGCCAGATATATCAACGGGAGATCTCAAATAATACCCGCGGCATAAAAGATGACTTAATAGCCATAGGTATACCCACTACACTGGTGATGAGTAGTAGGTTACAGTTCCTTTTGAAACACCGTCTCTCATTTTTGATCCGGATGTATCCAGTTGACGAGTCCCAGAATAATGAAAAGTGTTTTGTGGATTTCATTGTTAGGAGTGTAAAACAAGAATCCATATGTGGTCTAATATCCAACCACTAGCTAAGCATTCAAAAATCATCAGTCTTAAAATAGCTGGACTCCTATACAATGTCATTTGCATTCAGACGTTATAGTTACCATCTAACCCTATTTTAGGGAGGCTTCAGTGACACATCCCCATTCACTTTTACTTGGCTTCGTGATTGCTTATAGGCTTTCATTTCCCGGTCACATGATCTCCTTACCACCCTCGGACGCCCAGTCTATAGCTTTACAATCAGGTTTCACTTAAGGGCTTGGCGTAGCTCTCTATATACCACTTAAGTTATATAATTAATGGCAGGTTAGGAATATCATCGCATCTGTAGAATTCCAATTGATGCGAAACAGCTGATATGAAAAAAGGTGTTTGAAGGTGTCAAGTGTTGATATAAAATGCTTCCTGTTTGCCAGTTCGTTTTGTTAAAACGACTACAATGGGAGGAACAATCACTAGGCATGGTACTCTGAGTTCTTAATAAAAAATGAGAAGCTTTACAAGCATATATTTTAGTCCTGATTCATACTGTGGGAACTGTTTCGTGTTCATTGACCTTTGCCGTGTGACAATGCATATTTCATGGTTACACTTAATGACTTCTTCAACAGGAACTTTATGAAATCATGATCAAATAGTAAAGCTTTGAGAACACTAGACAACAGCCATGTTGATAATGAGCTACAAATGTTTCCATAATTTTGAATCGGTTGGTCATACTATATCTCATCATTGTCTACTTTTGGTGTTTTTGCTCAGTCATTTCATTCTTTCACCAGTATTAACAATAGGATAATCACAAGTCATTGAAGCACAGTTTAAAAGTTGAAAACAAAATTATTATGAAGTGCGACGAAATATAGAATGCCTCTATCTCAATGTAAGTTCTTTTTTCATTCCTTTGCGTTCCGAGTGGGACTTTGAACTTGAACTCAGAAGTGCTAGTAGTGGTGGTGTTGTTTTGATGGGATGAGATTGCCAGTCTCACTTTCAACCTTCTGTCTTTCACTGGGCTTATGCTTGGCTGAGCAGGTTATAGGAGAGCGTCAGCCGAGAACCGAACCCAGAACACGTGCATAGTTTGCGTGCATTTCCGCTTTTGAACATCTGCTTTATAGTACAATTTCATATTAGGTAGGCTTATTTGATAAAACACACAGTGATACCGTATTAATAAATGGATGACTTTTCAAGTACAATTTATTGCTCACAGTTATATCACCGTATTCCCGCGTCTTTCTAACTTTCTTCATGTGGTTTATTTTTAATCTCCCTTGTTTTTTAGTTTAGTTTCTCATGTGTGTGTGTTGTCTCATTTCTGTCGCGTGTATCTGCGGTTGACTTGATGGAAAAGGATTGGAAGATTAACCTCTCTCTCCGCCTAAACGTATTACCTTCCAATTCTTCTAACCTATTGTGTGCTTACATGTAATTGGAGCCGGCCGAGATTTCCTCGAGATCACTTAAAATGGCATCGTCAGATATTCTAAATCTAACTAAATTCTTATATTCCGATAATCTAACTGACGTCGATCTACTAGCCTGACCTTCATAGTTGACTTCACCGTCATCACATGATATTTATTAAATTATATTATCTTACTTAATTGGGTACATTCAGCCCTTAAGCCAACAATAACTATCTCTAAGTGAATTGGCTGGTTTGAATGCCACTCTAATTCTAGCTTTATTAATAATTTTTTTATTCCTTTACGTTCCCAGTGGAACATAGGAACATGGGGTTCAGTTCCCTGCCGACGCACACCCGATATCTATGGTCGGACTGCAAAATTTGGGCTACCGATATCCATGCTGAAAATTCCATACTTGTACTGAAAATACGGTGTGGCATCAAGCTCTAATCAAAAGTAAAAAATAAAAATAGAGGTTTGAAGTATCTGTGGCAGTGTTTATTTTTACAAGATGGGGTTGCTAGCCTCACGCCCTACCTTTCCTCTTCACCAGCTTTTATTTATGGCTTCGTGAGGTAAAGGAGTTCGTCCGCCGGGCCATGTGCATGGTCGGCGAGCGTCCTAATCGCTATGCCACCGACGCTTATTGATAATTAATTACATATATTTTCTTCTGTGTATGACTGCAGTGTCGAAGCTTGAAATTCCTTATTATTTATATTTCTCACTGGTCTATATAAATATATATTATAAACTGAACTGCATTTGGGCTTCCATTTTGAGTGCAGTCACTCTCACATGATGAATAAGATTTTACGTATTTATTTTTATATGTATATAAATGCATGAATTCAGAATAATAAAGTTTTCTATAAATACTTCAGTAGATTGATTCATCATATTCAGCGCATACATTTTCAATGTTCACTGGTTTTAATACATAAAAAAACTTTACGGGATCAAAAATTGACCAGATGAAAAGTTTCATATTTATTCTATTAGAAATTATTTTATGTGTACCTTGTCATTCAGTAATCAGGATAGAAAGCCGAGTTGAATACAGCAGCTATGGTGATCCTAAACTAAATATCTCTGATTATGACGAGGAAGATGATCGATTCGCTGAAGAATTCGGTAATTTTGAAATTACTAAGCCATATAATCCTATGAAGAATAACATGATATCCAGTGCAGTGAATGGGACCAATGCGAGGAACAACTCGAGGGATTCCCGTTACAGTGGTTTCTCAGATTTTTTGAAGAGTATTGAAAAACGTGCTCAAGAGGATGATTATGATAATAATAGAGGAGATGAAAAATGGTCTAGTTCTGAGGAGTCAATGGACAGGAAGAGTGATAAAGATGCTGATGACGATTTCTTTAAAAGTGGACCATTTGATTCAGATGATGACCAGAGTGATGATGACTTAGACTTTTCTGATTCAAAAGCTGGAGGTCATACGAGCGATAAGGAAAGTAATATGAACTCTGGTGAAAAGACTTCCAAAAGCTCAGTGATAACAAGTGTACAGCTTCATGAAACCCCTAATATGTATAATAATAAAAGATATGACAAGAAACAAAAATCTACGGCTGTCAAACGAAACAAATGGAATGCAGAACAGAGAAGGAATAGGCATAGAAAGAAAAGAAGACATCGTGATGAATTTTTTTCATCTGAATTTTTCTCATCATATTGATCCGATTACAGTTCTATGAGTCCATGTATAAAAGATCTGAAGATGGCAATTACAAGCGAATAAAAATGTTATTTCTTAAAGCAAACTAATATTTTGTAAATAAACTAACTGTAAAATATTTTTAAATTATATTTTTTTTAAAACTTAATTCATAAGCGAAGTAAAATTTCCCTTAAGAGAGACAAATAATAGAATTGTGCAGATAAATACTAAAGACCTTATCAGTAATTTAGCAGTGGGATATTAAAATAGTTATTGAAATGGGGATATGTAATTTTCTGCATAACTAAGTTTAGCCATATTATATTATTTTATTGTTTCCTTTAGTTCCTAGAGGAACATAGGGCTTCAGCCGTGCGTCTCCATTGCGTTCGGTTCTCTGCTAGAGTTTTCACCTGGCTCCAAGTCTGCCCACATGCTTTCATCTCCTCTTCACATGACCTCCTCCAAGTCACCCTCGCACTGACGACCAACTCGCCGCTTCCCTTTCGGGTTCCACTCGAGCAATGGCTTGTCTAGTGATGTCACTTGATGCATTGTTTCCTCAGAGTATGGCCATCAATCCATCTCCATTTCTTCCTGCTTATTTGTTGCACAATCGGTTCCTGGTTGGTTCGCTCATCCAGAGATCTCTGTTGCTGATCTTTTCTGGCCAGCCATCTGATCTTGAGTATTGAGCGAAGACAACTGTTAATGAAGGTCTGTAGTTTGTTTGAGATGCTCTTTATGACGCGCCAATATTTGCGAATATTTCAGTAATAACTATGTTTACAATACTGGCAATAATAATAATAATGTCAGTGGTCAAAAAGCGCAAATAGTTGATACAGGCGGTAATAAGAAGAATGATGAAGGTAGTATGACAACGTAGACAATGTACTGAATAAGTTAGGTCAAATCTTAAAAGTTACGTAATACTAAAAGTCAAATGGATAGATAATCAGAACTTATACGAACATCACAAAAGTACGAAAGAAATGAAGAATAAGAAAGAGGTGGAAGTTTCAATTAGATTTATCTAAATCAAAGAGAGAGAGAGAGACAAAGGTAGAATGAACTTCTTTTGTATACAAAAACCCAGATTGTTCTCTTGAATTCTCATAACTTCGGCTATGAGTAAAAGGCGGTTTGGAATTCTGTTCGAAGGGTTCAATAAATTGCAATAAGATAACCTTGAAGGCGCTTCTTCGATCCACTGGGTAACCGTTACAATCAAATGGAAAACATACAGCTTCTTTTGAATTTTGTTTGACATTTTCCAAGCCAGGAAGACGCTTAGTAATGTGTTTGTTAAGCTTTCTAGTTTTCAGTCCTATATAATATTCTCCGCATGAGCCGCTTAACTTATAAATGCACACAGAAATGGTACAACTAGGTAGCTTATCTTTCACTTGGGCAATCATAACTGGTCAGCTGAAATATAACAAGCAAAAGGTAGCAGCAGTATAAGTCTGTTTTATAGTTCTAGGTAATCTTCGATGTAGAACTTCACTAGGCACGTCACCATTGAATTACACGAACAACTATTCCTTTTTAATTGCGTTCATTTTCTCTTTGTTATATGCACTACTTATGTGTCTCCTTATAAATCCATTAGGGTAACCCATTTGGACCAGTACATTTTGCATGTATCCTGATTCAATTTCTATGGAATTATCAGTATAAATCCTTCTTGCTCTATTCGTAAAGTATCTGGTCATACTGATTTTGTATAGGATAAGTACGGAACTGAAGGAAAGTGTATATAGTTAGTTTTTCACTTAGTTTTTTTCTATAGATATGTCTGTTGAGTGTACCATCCTTTCTTCTGCTTAACTGAACATCAAGAAAGTGTAATCTACCGCCCTTTCTTTCTTCCCAAGTAGAAATTAGCGTCTTGTTCTTGTCAGCTTTCTAATCAAGAATAATTAATGTAGCATCGACTTAATGGAAATAAGAATCCATTTAATCCACTACATATTTCAATGGAACATTTTCAATCTTAGAAAGGAATAAAGCTGCCAAAATTGGCCTTAATGGAGAGCCTAGCCAGCCAAGGTCGAAAAAGTAAGGCATACACTCATTGCTCTGAAATGACCTTGAAAATCTGCTACAATTGACTTAAGGAATTCCCAGCATTTATGTAATATCCGTTATTCTGTATGATTCAAAAAGTCGCCACGCACATCACGAAGAGTACTCCAAGCAAGCTGTTTCAGACCTTCGTCAGCAGCTCCCTTCACCATCTCGATAGCGAAAAATAGATGACAGACCATAAGGAATAAGCAATAGGGAATTTTGGCAGTACAGAGAACCAGACCACAACCTTTTGCCCGAAAAATATGCAGACAGAAGTTATGGATTAGGAATACCTTGAGGATGCCGTTTAATGATATCGCACACCAAGCCTTTTAGTGGAATTAGAATGAGGAGGCTGAAATAAAACAGGTAGTATGCAGTGTATGGGAGTGGAAGCTCGTTGATGGTGGTGGAGCTAATCGGAATTGCTGACAGAGATCCCAATGTAATGTAGATATACTCCTGAAGGCTTATATTCCACTACTTTGGAAGTAGGGCATTAATAACACTAGTGCTACATTCCAAATGTTTCTTCTAAAATCCTCCTAATCACAAAATCGACGCTCTAACTAAATATGATTGATTTGACATTTTACAAGAAAAATGCGGATACATAATTACGCACAAAACTAAGAAATGATGGAAACGACTTCCATCTCATTAAGGCTGCTTCAGTTTAAAGTCATCTAACAAGACAAATAAAGCTTCATCAATAAGCTATCCAGCCTAGAGAACACAATAACCCTGATAAAATGCAATTTTTCCTTATTTTTGTCTACAAAAAATGTCGCAGTTATATAAGTTCTGCGTTTTAAAGCATGAAAATATATATGCGGATGTTTAAATTTGAGTGCATTTTTAGTGTTTGGCATAATTTACAGTTGTAGTCTTTTGCATATATATATATATATATATATGAGTAAATAGACAAGGAGAAGAATCGAACTGAAATAATTCTCAAAGGTTCATGCTTGTCAATGCAAAAATAATTACTGTAGACTCTGTGTAACATATGAAATAATTTAAGAAAAGATACATATATAATGAATTCAATTAATATTGTCTTTATAACCACTTTATTATTTATTTACGTTAGTGGAGAATTTGATACCCGAATTGAAGATGACGGTGCAAGAAGGAGGGAGCAACACACGTCTTCTGGACACCATTCTCTTGCTGATGAAGATTTTGAAGCTGAAGATGATCAGTTCATGGAAGAGAACAACCCAGATTCTTCTAATCCCCAAGATAGTGAACAAAGTGTTGGTGATGAAGACGATGACGATAGTGATGATAATGACAGTAAATCTAATGAATCAGACGACCAACTTCAAGACGGGATATTTGATCATCATGCTGTCAATGATTATAATAACTATCATAGAGAACATTATAAGTTTAATAATAATAATAAAATAAATTCGGGAAATAAAAAGGATAATATAAATCATCAAAAGGGGGAGAATAGAAATGAAGCATATGGTAGCGTTAACGGATATCCACATCAACCATATGACTTCTATAATGACTACGATTTCTATGAAGATTTTCATGATAATCATAACTACTACAGACCTTATGAACCAGATGGAAGACATCCTAATTATACACAGCCGCATAATGAGAACGAAGAGAAACCGCATAAAGAAACCGAAGAGGATATTTATAGAAGGCATGAATATATTCTAAGAAATTGGCATGAAATACATTATGGTAATGCATATGGTCATGCATCGTATCATCCTAGAAAGTATAATAAATATTATGATCATCGTGGACAGGATGGAAGGCATTCACCGAACAATAAACATGATGGCCATCATCATCGCAGGGATGACAATCGCAGAAAGGGTAATTAAAGAATCAACACAACGTAAAAGAAATTGACTTTTAACGAATACACGAAAAGTTTGTTCTGCCTTATATATTAATAAAAACAATAAATAATAATTCATTTTTATGATATGCTTGAAGTCGTGGTGTTGTCACTTGTTGTATGGGTTTGCCAGCCTCACACTCAACCCTCTCTCTTTTCCAGGCTCACTATTGACTAGTAAAGTGGGTTAGATTAAAGAATTCGTCCACCGGGAATCGAACCTAGGACCACGTGCATAGTTGGCAAACATCTTACCACTGAACTGCCGATGTATGTATGCATATGCAGTTATTTCAACACTTATTTTAGGTTTCACTATTATTGCCAGTGCTGATACTAATTGTTTTCCAGACTTGCGAAGTTTTCATTGGACCGAAATAACCGATCGAAAAAAACAAATAAATAAATTTACGCATTTTAAGAAAAATTAATAGCAGTTGTAAAGTAATAATAATAATAATAACAGCTTTATTCCAAACAGTATTTGTGGTACAGGTATGGAATTTTCAGCGTGCATTACAATATTGCATCTAATTACCTCATAAATTTTACAAGATTTTAAAAACAAAAAGCAACAACAATAAAAAAAATAGATAAATAAAAGAAATAAAAAAGAACAGCGTTGCATTCACATTTTAAACAATGCACCACAGAATATGAAATATAAAATTAGTGTGTAATAGAAGATGTGAACAACAATATAATAGTAACACAGAAAGGAAAACAAAAACTAATGGGAACTATTTGTTAGAGTGCCGCAGTAAGTTGATCGTGTCATACCTAACGGATTTCTCATCACATAACAGCTGTGCCAGATAAGGTATTGTGGAGTTTTTGTACTTGGTAGTCCTAGCATATAGCCTCCTATAGCTGCTTCTAGTTCTACCAGATGAAATGCAAGGAGAGAGCTGCGTATAGAGAGGATGTTCGGGGTCTGATAATATAGTATTCGCTAGTTTCTTACATGACATTATATGTCTATCCACAATAGTGTTAACCAGTTGGTTTAACGAAATCCCACTTCCCCTACTAACAGCTTTTAGTGCCCTTCTCAGCAAAGCAAAATCTTTCTTAAGTAGTCCAGGAAAGATTAATGGGGAGCAGTAAAGAGGGATGGGTAGAATACAGGAATTGACAAACTGAGAAAGTAAAGACTGCTTTATACCAGACTGCCTAAACTTCCTAACGTAGAACGTTAAGCGAAACATCTTTCTAGTCACTAGCAAGATGTGAGAGGACCAGGAAAGATCGGAGGAAATACTCAGTCCAAGGTACTTGACATTAGATGTAGTTTCAACCTCTATGCCGTCAATGATAGTGGGACCATGTGAGCTAGCTAGTTGTTGTAGGTCACGTTTTCGTCTGAAAGTGAAATTTACTACCTGACATTTAGACGGATTCAGCTTAAGACCGTTTGAAGAGGACCACTGACTAATTTCCGAGAGAAAGTTATTTAATTTGGAACAATCTGACTGAGAGTTGACAGGCATGGAGACAGAGAGGTCATCAGCATACTTGACAAAAGTTGCTACATCAGAATGGGGCAAGTCATGTAAGAAAAAAGAAAACAGAAAAGGAGAAAGAACAGCACCTTGAGGGACACCAGCTAAAGTAAGTGAGGTAGTGGAGGACTTTCCATTGTAGACGGTGTACTGCTTCCTATCAGAAAAATAGGAATGCAACCACTTATTTGTCCAGCTCTCAGTCTGTGTTGCAGCAAGCTTACTTAGCAAGAGAGACCTAGGTACAGAGTCAAATGCAGATGTGTAATCGAGGAAGGCACACCGAACGTATTTAGCTCCTCTATCTAAACTAGAGACTATATTATGATATAGAACAACAGCGGCATCTAAGGTACACCTACTATGTTTATAAGCAAACTGGTTGGGGTCATTGAAAGGCTTTAAAGAGGGTTCAAGATTAAGTAAAATAAGTCTTTCTATAACTTTCAAAAAAGGTGAGGTAATAGCAATGGGTCTAAACTTGACAGTAGGTCCACTTGTTGATTTAGGCACTGGAACAACCTTCATATTTTTCCATGATTCGGGTATAATACTTTTTGAAAGAGGTGGATGTCGTAGGTTTGTACATAAGTTGTCAATATTCGGAGGTTTGAATATATGGGAGACATTTTCTTAGTGTAATGCAAGTACGTTCAGTCTTAAAACCAATGAAATTTGTTTTTTGGATTCCACTGTCAGACACTCCTTATCAGACAGTCTTAGTTTGTTATTTTTTAAGTGGTATTTAGTCAAAATGGTATCCTATTAGTCTTCTTGTAATTACTTGGTGAATGACTGAATTATGAGTGGTGACTTTTCATGATCTCCAACTCGATGAATCAGAAATACTTCTGTCATTTGTTTATTAATGTAAACTGCCATAAATTATGTACTGAAAAAGGACTATACCATCCTGAGAAGGATGTTGAAGGTAGTCAGTAGGACTAGTGGTGTAAAACTCAGTCAGCTCGTCACTACTTTAGTTGATAGGCATCTGAATACATGCGAAAAATGGTCTAAAACCATACTCTCCGACTCCCAACACCCCATCTATTCCCAACTCTCGCCTTGTATCTCATCAAGTAAAACCAGAAATCAGTATAAAATAACCTATGCTCTTACAACCAAGTATAGGAACTCAAGGATACCATACTTGACCCGTATTCTAAGTGACAGAGACAATGTTCAGCGCGAAACCTATGACTTGCTTTGTTGTTAATAACATAATTTTGGCTGCTTTATTTCTCTCTTATTTTTGTATTCTATAGTGAACTCCTTTTTAAACATACTTAGCTACCTAAATTATTAACATTGGCTCACTTTTTTGTACTTTATTCTATTCCTTCTTGTGTGTATCTACTGGTTCCGACTGTATTAGCACTATGAGTATTACAAAATTGTCCTGTCATTAATGTAATTATTAGTTTTGTGGGTGTTTTTTCTTATTTTCTATACTTTTCGGCAATATTAACTGACAATCATTGGTTTTGAACGCCATAGTCACCACCTTAAAAAATTTTGTATTATTCAGGATTACTCACACTAACACTACAAACACAGCATTAGACCTGACAAGAAAAAACAAAACAACAACCCTGAAATGTTTTTTATGAGTGTTTAGTGTCGTTCAATCAAATTAACTGATCATCTTGGCGATAAACATTCTTAAATATCATTTCATAACTTCCTGTATGATTATAGCTTTACTGTCACCATGCATAATCATATCATAGCTTCCACTACCCAATACTGAGATATTATTATGTGCTGTTTATTTTCCTTTCTACTTCTTGGTATTTTTTCGCATTATTATTATTATTATTTGTTGTTGTTGTTGTTTTTATATATATTTTTTGAAATACTCCTTTTGAATGTTTGATAAAATTATATGCAATATTGTAGATATGTGCTGAAAATTCCACACTGTACCACTAGTACTGTTTCTGGAATAAAGCAAATTATTATTATTAATAATTGTTATTGATGCCTAAAGATATTTTTGTCATAGCATGGTTTAACCTTTGTTTCTGAGGGATTGACTCACTTTTCTACTGACTGGATTATAAAGTAAAACACATAAACCATGTATTCCAAAGAGAAATGAATACAGCTCAACAAGTTAATTGATTCATATGCAGATTAAAAATAACTAGCTTTATATATGGATGTTTTTAACTGGAAATGGTATCTTGACGACGTGAAGATAAATTTATCAATCTTTATGGATAAAATTTATTTTGATAAAGTCTCACAGTGTTATACAGTTATATTTACTGATCACCACGCTTCGAGCACAATTTATTACTGCTCATAATCATGTGAAGTTACTCACACAACTTTCTAACTTCGATGATATAATTCCATTATTTTTCATCTCTTGATTTGATTGGTAATAGCATTTTTCATATCTCTGGAGGAGATATCTGGGACCTTACGTAGGATTCTTAATAAAGCAGGAATTAGGGTGGCATTTAAACCTACAGACTCACTCAGGTAGGACAAGGTCTGTAGGTTAACAAAATACTTTGCAATGACTGTGAGTTAAGCCAACTACATAGGTCAAACTAGTAGATCATGAGTAGTGAGATTATCAGAACATAAGAATTTAGCGAAGGTTAGCATGATTGACCCCAGAAAGATAAACAATCTAGAAAAACACCCCAGCAATTGCATTTCATGCATTAACACACAACCACACAATAGGGTGGGACAGAGTCAAAATTCTAAAAAGTGATATAGGTAGGTTGGGAGAGAGGTTGATTAATGAATCTTTGTTCATAAAGTCTACACCTGACTCATCAGCAATACCAGAGGTATGGAAAATGCTATTACCAATCAAATCAAGAGATGAAAAATAATGGAATTATATAAATGAAGTTAGAAAGTTGTGTGAGTAACTTCACATGATTATGAGCAGTAATAAATTGTGCTCGAAGCGTGGTGATCAGTAAATATAACTGTATAACACTGTGAGACTTTATCAAAGTAAATTTTATCCATAATGGAATTATACTCTACCACAGTGCCTAAGTTTTATTCTTATATTATCAGTCTTTAAGCTTGTCTGTCACATCTCCTCTTATATTTCTGACCTATCTATCAAATTAGATTCTGTGAACTGGCCTCGCACTCTGTTTAGTAATGATAAGGTTGAAATTTAAGAATGAGTACCAAGTACCGAAGTAAGCGCCTTATTAGATAAGAACATTTGATATAGCTGACACTTATAGCATATGAATAACTGGATGACGTTTTGAGAATAATTTATTACTAATAATCATGTGAGTGTATCCGAACGACTTCCTAACTTGCTTTATGTAGCTTCTTTTCCTAATTACTCTCTCCTACTTATTAACACAGTGTGCCACATGAGTCTAATGAATACGTATGTGTAAAGGTTAGTCGTTCTCATAATCAGGCCATTAAGTGACATCAGTTAGACAACCAACCACTGGAAGCTGAAGAGTCCTGGACAGTTGTT